AAAAAAATTCCCCCTTAATATATGCATAGCCCTTATCTTCCCCCTTTTGACATTAACAAAAAGATTGTTAACAACAAAAATCATAAAGATTTTTATTAATTAATTAAGGGAAATAGCGGAGTACATAACGAAAGCATATTAAAAGATGATAAAATAAGGAAGAGAAGAAAGTAGAGCTAGAGCTCTAGAAATCCGGGGAAAGATCATTGAGAAGTTGTTCTTCGTCAATGTCTTCTTCTTCTTCTTCGTCATCTTCATCACCATCGCCATCATCATCATCATGATCATCATCATCATCATCATCATCATCATCATCATCATCTTCTTCTTCTTCTTCTTCTTCCTCATCGTCCACCTCGTCATCTCTACCAACGTTTTGAGTCCCACTTTGTTCACCTCCGAAATTCGGTGGAGGAACGTAAGGGACCATTTGAGCGTACGGGTAATTGACAAAGTCAAAATACCCGTGAAGTTCACGGCTCAAGGTATTGACGTTGTGTGCCATTTTGGAGACGTTGGTGTCAATCCGAGAGAGAGTGGCGGTTAAGGCTGCCATTTGCTCGGCGAGAGAAGGATTGGTCGAAGTGGTGGCGGCTGAGGCAGTGGCTCTCGGTTGTCGGCGTGGACGAGGCTGTCGAAACGGAGTCTCGTCGGTGCCCGAGTGGAAAGAGGATTCATCAATCTCCCAATGCTTTGTCCCCTTTATCTTTGGCCCAACATCGGTTTTGATGTTATATTCTTCAAGAATCGCCATGACAAGGAGGGCGTAGGGGAGCGGCCGGTTGTCGGAGGTGGCGTTGAACATGTGGATCATCACAAATTTACACCAATTAATATTGGCGTTGTGAATCATCGCATGGATCGTCTTCGTGTCTTCTTGGGAGAGAGTGGTGTGGTTGAACTTCCTGGGCTTGAGGATCCGTGTCAACACATAGAAGATGAATCGATACACGGGACTCATGGAAGAAATCGTAGGACGCCGCTGTTGAGGAGTGGGGACGAAGTTTCGGATGCCCACTTCCTCCAAGAGGGCGGTCTCGTTGAACCGTGCTCCTTCTTCTCCGACGTAGAGCCCGAGATCCTGTCCATCCCGTCGAAGCCCGGTGAGGATTTGATTGTTTTCCTCATTCAAATAAATGTCCACCCCGTTGACGTTAGAGATCAATGCTCCGTCCTCATCCTTTTTCAAGTTCGAGTAGAAAGCTCGAACAAGAAAGGGTTGATAGTTGACCTTCTTGATGTAGAGGAGATCAAGGAAGTTTCCACGTTCGAGGATAATCCGTACCTCACGTGGAATGGAGTCATGAATGAAGCGGGCGGTGGAGAATCGGGGAGGGAGAATCTCCCGGTGCTCAAATTTCTCCGAGAACCGCGTTGCCTCTACGTGGTCGTTGAACCAAAGGAACGACCCATCGAGGTACTTGTGCGCCGGTGGTGAAGGAGCCGAGGAAGAAGCCACGTTCTTGCCGGTGCGGGATCTTTTTCTTTGACCTCTTGCCATTTCAACAAAGAGAGAGAGGGAGAGCAAGACAAAAAAAAGAGAAATTTGCAGGGATTTTGCAAGAACACTGAAGAATAATTGCAAGAAGGATGAAATATTGATGAATATATGAAGGAATTGTGATTTGAGTGAGATTTTTGAAAAATCGCCGTTGATAATCGATTAACATAACCTGTAAATCGATTATTAGATGCCTCAGATTCTCCGCTGATGGTCCTGCAGCCTTCAATAGTCGATTGTCATGTTTTGGTAAATCGATTGTTGGAGTTTGCGCCTGAGTTGCCTTAAACTTCTGCAGGCTCAGATAATCGATTATCTTAATGTTGATAAACGATTGTTTACTCCTTCAGCTTCTGTGCTCTAAACTTCTGCAGGCTGTGATAGTCGATTATCACAAGCCTGTAAATCGATTTACACCAGGTCTGAAGCAAAAATCGATTTACTTTGTTCCCCCTGCCTTTGACACCTGAAAAATAAAATTTAAAAAAAAGAGCCCTGCAAAAAAGAATTAAAAACGTCTCCGACGTTCAAGTTAGTAGGGACCCAAAAAAAAAAAATAATTTATGCACAATTTAGATCATCGTGGAGTCAAGGATTCCGAGTTCACTACGAATGCGGAAGAGCGACTCTTTCTCTAAAGGTTTTGTGAAAATGTCGGCTAATTGGTTGTGTGTTTCAACGAACTCAATTTCGACATCACGTTTGAGAACATGATCTCTAATGAAATGATGCCTAATGTCAATATGCTTCGTCCTTGAGTGAAGAACCGGATTCTTCGTCAAGCTTATAGCACTAGTATTATCACATCGAAGAGGGACTTGATCGATACTAAGTCTGAGTCGGAATAGCCAAAAAGGTGACAAGGAGACCCCTTGGGGTACCATAGTCCAATGTTCATTGTACCAACAAGATACTTCATTATCCGTTTCACCGCCGTTAAATGCGATTCTTTTGGACAAGATTGATACCTTGCGCATAAACAAACGCTAAACATGATATCGGGTCTACTAGCGGTAAGATAAAGAAGGGATCCGATCATACCTCGATACTTCTTTACGTCTACTTCCTTACCCTTTTCATCTTTTTCCAAATGCTCGGAGGTGCTCATTGGGGTAGCCATTGNTTGCAACTTGTTCTTTAAGTGATGTACAAGAACTACATTTTGAACTCTCCGGTTTGTCGGCGCTTCTTTTTCCGAAAAACTTATTTTCTTCTTTAAGTTTTTCATTATCTTTTGATAATTTATCAACCTCCTTCTCCATGGAAGTAAGTTGTTTCTTTAAATCCTTGTTAATTTTAGAAGCATTGACATATTCATCATAGAGTTCATTAAAAGCTTCTTGTACATCATCTTAAGTATGGGAATCTTTAGAAGTGGTACATACCTCTTCCGGTGGTTCCTCGTGTGCCATGAGGCAAAGGTTGGCGCTTTCATTTTCTTCACCTTCCGATGATTCTTCGCCGGAATCACCTCCCCACGAGATGTAAGCTCGGTGCTTCTTGAATGGTTTCTTCTCCTTCTCGTTTTTGGCATTTGGGCATTTTGGCTTGATATGCCCAACTTCTCCACATCCATAGCACTTGGGTGGTCCTCCATGCTTTTTACCCTTTCGTTCATACTCCTTGCGCATGAACTTGTGGAATTTCTTGATGACAAGCCCGAACTCATTGTCTTCATCGCTTGATTCCTCCATGGCGGGTTCTTGGCTTGAGGAAGCCTTGAGTGCAATCCCCTTCTTCTTTTGTTCACCTAAAGAGGGGAATAAAATGGTAGACTCATAGGTTTTGAGGTTACCTCTAAGCCCGTCAATGGTGACGTTAGTGACACCAATGCACTCTTGGATGGCATCGGCTTTGGACCGCCACTCCGGTGTGAGACTTCGCAGGATTTTTCTCACAAGCTCCTTGTCCGTGTACGTCTTCTTGAGAGCATGGAGATCGTTGACGATTTTGGAGAATCGTTCAAACATCTCATCGATGTTCTCATTCTCCTTTATACAAAACAATTCATATTCATGGGTTAGAAAATCAATTTTAGCTTCTCGGACTTGATCCGTACCTTCGTAGGTGATTTCTAGTTTATCCCACATTTCCTTCGCGGTGGTGCAACAAGATATCTTCCGGTAGTCATCCGGGTTTACGGAACAATAGATGATATTGATGGCCTTGGCATTGTTTTCCACTTTCTTGATGTCTTGTGCATCATACTCGTTCTCGGTCTTAGGAACGTTGGTTTCCCCGACCTTCTTCATTGGCACGTCTTCACCATTCTTGATATTTCTCCAAAGCAGAAAATTGGTGGATTGGATGTAAATCCTCATCTGCTTCTTCCAATAGGTGTAGTTCGTTCCGTCAAACAACGGAGGCCTTGTGGTGGATTGCCCTTCACCTAAACCTGCGTATGAACTTTGAGTAGAAACCATTGATCGTTTCTCTCAAACGGTTAAGTCTTACAGAGAGTAAGGCTCCGATACCAATTGTTAGAATAAAGGCCCAACGCTAGAGGGGGGGTGAATAGCGTTTAAAACAAAATTGCAGGAAATTAAAACGAGAGCGTTAAAGTAAAGAGCGTAAGGAAGGAGCACACCAGATTTTATCCTGGTTCACCACAACGTGTGGCTAATCCAGCCCCCCCGAGAGACTCTCTCGAGCTACACTAACTCCGTTAAGCTTAAGGGTGCTTAACAAACCGATACAACTTGAGAACCCGAGTCACACGAGCCTCAACACCTTTGCTCGGAGATACCACACTCCAAGACTTCTCACGAAGGAACAAGGAACTTCCTTCGAGTTTATAACAAGGGAACAGAGTCCCTTAAAGTGTATGAAAACACTTAAACACTCAGGAATAAAACTCTCACAAAGAGTAGATATGAGTGAACTAGTAAACGCTCAAGAACACGACAATTTCTTCAAGAATTGGCTCTCAAATAGCTAAGAAAAATTGGAATGCTTATGCAATGAAAGAGTATTGAAATGTTGAAGAATTGTGTGTTAAAAGAGAGGATTTGGGTGCCATTTTATAGCCCAAAATGGGATAAACCCGTTGCTAGAATTTCCAACAGGATGAAGACAAAT